ATAAAAATTTAAACTTTTTTTTATCTTACAATTTAGTCTTAAAACGTAATATGAAAACTCAAATTTTAAAGGTTAAACCCCCAATTTAATCCCTCAATTATTATATGGACCCCAGATTTGATTATTGAATTAAAAAATTCATAATTTAGTCCCTACTGTTTATTAATTCAGTTTCAAGTTGTTTCTTCCATACAAAAAAATGATGTGTCTTATTATTAATATGACACATAACCATTAAATTCTAGTTTTCTATCTTTAAGTAATAGACACGTTAACTATTTTTTAATAAAAAGACTAACTTAGGGTCAAATTAATAAATAATAGGAAGAAATCAAGGATTTTGTAGTTTAGGGACCAAATTGAGATCCATAGAATAGTTGAGGGACACAATTGGAGGTTTAACCAATTTTAAACCATAGAAATTAAATACTAATAACTTGGCGGCCGTTTTCATTTCCCACTATTGTACCGCCCATTTTGGGTACAAAAATCTCAACATGAAAAATATTATTTCTAACAGTCATTTCATATTTTAAATTATAAAAATAGTACTAATCATCAAATTGGGGGTCACACAAATTATTATAGAGTTTTTATTATTTAATAGTTAAATATTTTATAATTTAATATAATATAAATTATATTTATATTAAATTATAAAATATTATTTAAAATTATTTTTAGTGGAATACAATTTGAAATTTATTTATATTCAATTGTATAATTAAGTACAATTGAAAGTATTGAACCTTTTTTTGGGTTGACTAAATATCATTCAACATGAACCAGCCCCTCAGACCAATTGAGCCATCAATCAAAGCCTAAGAGCTGGGCGGTGGAACTCCTACCAATTACTTGAATTAAATTCCCCTTCTCTCCGAAATTTTCCATCTTCAGAAAAAAAAAAAATCAATATTTTCCAAGACCTAACAAAAACTTTTTGCTGTGAGTTATTGGCCCAACACTGCAAAAGCTTGTGGGCTAAACCCTTATCCTTATCGCCTAGGCTCTTTTCCTTGTTTTGACCATAAAAAGCGTAAAGCACGTAGGCTTTAACAAATTAAAATTAATATATATTTAATTAAAGAGAATTGGAAAAAAAAATTCTAATAAGCTTCAAATACGCAACCCATAAAAAGTGGTTCACATTGACCGAAGATCACAACCACTGGATCAGATCGTGGGAACCAGAAGCTGCCACCTTACTTCAACTCCGGACCGGGAAACTTCTAATTATAATAAATATTTTGAACGTTACTTTTTTTTTTTTTTTTGGTTGCTTTGGATTAAATTACAAACTAACAAAAAGGTTCCTGGCGAACGTAAGGGACGCTCACGCTATCTCCTAGCACGATGTTTTCTAAAACCACAGGACGGCTAGTAAAGGTAGTTGTTCCAGAAGGCAGTGTATGACCGAGTGCTGACATGAAGTCCGCTGCAGAGTTTCCCTTGCGAAGAGTATGATGAATCAAACCTGGAGAAAATTGGAGCAAAAGCTCCCGTATGTTCAAGACCAGGACTTGAGCTTGATTATCCAACTCTTTGCCTGAACTAATTGCTGCTACTGCACTTAGAGAATCTATCTCTACTATTTATTGAGTTTGAAACTGTATATACATACATATTTTTGAAGTTGTATTTTAGAGTTTTGATTAAATTATAAAATATAGATTATTAAATAAGAAAAAAGGTCTTAATATCAATAAGTTTATTTTATTTAATAATTAATATAATATAATCTAATTTAATTTAAATTATATTATATTTTTAAAAAAATTTATGAGTAATAAATATTATTAATAAATGTCAAGAATTACAAATTTTAAAATAGAAGAAAGAGCAAGTGTGAGAGTCACCAATCATACTTTGTACTAGTTAAGATTTTTTATTTTATAATTGATTTAATACTACAATAAATAACTGAAAAAAGTTTCAAAAATCCAATACTACTATCCTACAAATTCTTATTCTAACATAATTAAAAAAAAAAAAATTAAGTGCGGACGATAGGGTAAACCGCCACCACTTCGACCTTCATCCCTAGAGATTTGCTGGCCCAACTCTAGTAATTGAAAATTTAATAATTTTTCGTTTGGCAATAATTAGAGCCACACCTTATGAATCACATTTCCTAAGGTCAAAAAAGAGTTAAGAGTTATTGGGTTATTGACTTAATGGGTTCAAAGGTGCAAGTCTCCTATGAAAAGAGATTGGATATGTGTGATTCGACATGTGTTTCGAGAGTAAAACTTTTGTGCAGATACAATGGCATCTCAGTTTTATCACCTAAAGAGAAGTTTCCTTTATTTTGAACAACCCCTTGATGTAGTTCGATCTCTTCTTCAAGAAGATAATTTAGGAATTTGTAAGCCATGGTGCCACTAGATAACCCAATGCTGTAAGCATTGCCCAATGTACCCAAAAAAAAAACAAAAAGAGTTAAGAGTTTCCAAAGTAAGAATTTATTTTAATATTATGTTAATAATTGCATTAGCTACCCCGAAAGGAGTGGCTCAATAGTTTAAAACTTGAGATTTTAAGTTGACAATCTCAAGTTAGGTGGGGAGAGATTTAAAAAAAGGGGAGGGCTATCCTTATTATATAATCCATTTAAAAGTACCGAAAAAAAAAAATGCATTAGCTATTATCGAGGTATTAACTAATTTAATCATTAGAATTTTAATAATTAAATAGATAATTTATAATCAATTTTTTTTGTCATGATATGTATTTTGTTCATTTTAAATTATAGAATAAAAAATTAAAAACATTATAATTATAATCTTATATAATATTTTAAATATATAATATAATATATTATTATATAATTTTTTATTTTTATTTAAAGATCTATTATGCAGTGAAAGCCACTATTAAAAAAATAAAAACAGAATATAAATGACCGTTAGACTTATTGCACCTTTTTAAAAAAGGAAGGCTGGTTTCTCTCCTTGGTGTTTCCCCAATTAATGATCGCTTATCTTATACAGTAAACAGGGATTCAAAGTCAAAAGCGGTGAAGCCAGCCTACCATTAATAAGCAACTATCATTATGATTTAATTAACTACAGTTGGTTAAAAAAAATTATTGTGATTTAATTAACACGACTCCTTAAAAAAATATATATTGAAATTTAAAAATTTTAAATTTTAATTTTAATAATTTTATTTTTGATCCCTTAATTGTACTAATTAAAAAAAAGGGTACCATTAATAAATGCAGGCACTTGGTTTCATGATACTACACAAAAAGGGACAGAGTCGGTGATGAGAGACGGAAATAGGAAGAGCCAGAACTCTGGAGAAGATGGAGGCGGTTGATTCCAATGTTCAGTTTGTGCGCATTATATGGGCGGATGCTTTTGGACAACATAGATGCCGGGTACACTTTCTTTTTCTACTTTCTTAGCATAAGTGGTTGCTTTGTAGTGGTTTTAATTTGTCAATCGAGTCCTGATATGTTTGCTCTGAGCAACCCCTTTTCTTCCTGATGAGGAAACGCAAGATGGGTACCTTGTTATTGGAGGAATAATGATGAAAGTAGGAAGCTTTCTTAACTTAATATGGAAAACTAGGAAGGTCTTTGATGTCATGGTTCTTCATTTTCCCCATATAGAACAATAGTCGTGATTTTTGATCAACGGCTTCCTTATATAGTTGGTCGGTTCATCTGGATTGGATGAAATTAATTTTTAAGAGTTTTTTCCCCGTTAATTTTTGATACATTTCAGGTTGTTCCA